GGGCCCTTTTTTAGGCCACATTATCAATAAATGGGCCTTAAATGTTCATATATTGGGCTCATTTTTGGTTTTAGGGGCCCAAAATATTTTCCAGCGTGATTGACAGGGTATCGATGATTGTTTGTTTTGCTGGTTGGTTGGTTTATTGGAAGATTAGTTGGTTTGTTGCTTGCTTGCTTGTTTGGTTGTTTGTTTGCTTGATTGGTTGGATGGCCGGTCTGTTGCATCCTCCGAACGCAGGGTTCCAGAATCATAAACAATGTTCCTTCCTTCTTCACTTTGTGTATGATTCTGGAACGCTGCGTTCGGACGATGGTCCGTTGAGTTAGAGCCCAACTTGGTGGTTTGTTGCTTGGATTGTTCAGTAGCACGTTTTAGGACATAAAATGAAAAAATTAAATTCCTTACCCTGCTAGGAACGTTAAGTACCCAGTCACCCGGATACCCAGTCACCCGGATACCCGGTCACCTGGTTTTTTACACAAACCCCAATTTTCGCATGATTTTTTAGCCAAAACTGTCAAACTGTCTAACTGTTGATGCATGATGCAATTTGAAGTAGGCCTATACCGATAAGGTCATAACTCAAGAATAGTAGGCCCGGGATAGTAGGCAAAGCCACAGTCTATATGCAGTTATGATTCCCAAAATCATAACGTTCTGCATAAAGATTGTGGGCCTAACCCTACCATCACACCAAACTAGTTCTCACTGCGTTCTCGAAAACGGGCTTCAACTGTATACGAACGGACTGGACCTACTAAGAACCGTTTGGGATATATTTACAAACTCCATCGGACGTACTCGAACGGGTAGGTCCTCTAGAACTTAGACAATGCTCAAAATGTTCTCGTGGTCGTCACGTTCTACAATTAGAACGAGTGACAACGTACTAACGACGAGCTGGACGTACTACGAACGGAACCGTCGTACTTCAATCCTACTAGGGACGTTTTAACAACGAGTTGAACTGTCTGCGGACGTGTTGAGAACGAGGTAGAACTAATTGCAAACAGGTTTAAACTGATTAAGAACGTATTTAACACTGCTTATGAACGAGTTAGCAACAATATAGCTATCACACCAAACAAGTTGCCACTGCGTTCTTCAAAACTGGTTTTAAACTGTGTGCGAACGGAATGAACGTAGCTGCAACTTTCTAACAAGGAAATTAGCGCACGCGCAACAATTTTAATCAGTAAAAGCGAATCCATCCTTTATTACGATCCTAGCGCATGCGTATTACGTAGATAATCTCCTGAGTGGAGGCGATAAGAATCTGCGCAAGTATGTCCGTGAAACGGGGTAAGAATAATTTTGTCTATTTATGCACGATTGGGTAAGCCTACCAAGATTAAGCATGTATTTACATTAAGAGAAATCATGTTAAATAAGTTTGAATGATTTTACCATTGAAGTTTGTCAAAGATTGAGATTTATCAGTCACATTTACGGTAAGCTTTTTGGTTTTTCCATCCTGGACCAAGGAGGATTGGCTCCCAGGATGCAACATCGATACCGATACTCCCTATGTCGTGACTACAAAATTCGAATTCAAACTGCATTTTCGTTTGAAAATAAGACCAAAATTAACGATACAAATGTTGAAGTGAATAAAATAGCGGCTGTTTGAATTCGAATTTTGCAATCATGACATCAAGAATATCGACAGAGTATCGATGTTGCATTCTGGGAGCCAATCCTCCTTGATCCTGGACCTAGACGGCCGTGTGCAGTAGGCCTATAGATTGCAACCCGGTATTGCAAGTGATTTTGGACCATCATATCTTTCACCATTAGTATTTTTTATAAGAACAATGTGTTTTCTTATAAAGTTTTCTGTTTTCTCCTGTTTTTAAAGATAATCTGTTTTCTCATGCTTTCAAAATAAATTGTTTTCTCCTGTTTTTAAAGAAAATCTCCTGTTTAGACTGAAAATCTCCTGTTTTCTCCTGTTTTTTAGATGGTAACTTGTTTTCTAAAAGAAACCTCCTGTTTTCTCCTGTTTTTAAAAGAAGTCTCCTGCTTTCTCCTGTTTTTTAAAGAAAATCTCCTGTTTAGACTGAAAGTCTCTTGTTTTCTCCTGTTTTTTAGATGGTAACTTGTTTTCTAAAAGAAACCTCCTGTTTTCTCCTGTTTTTAAAGAAAATCTCCTGTTAAGACTGAAAATCTCCTGTTTTCTCCTGTTTTTTAGATGGTAACTTGTTTTCTAAGAGAAACCTCCTGTTTTCTCCTGTCTTTTAAAAGAAGTCTCCTGCTTTCTCCTGTTTTTAAAAGAAAATCTCCTGTTTAGACTGAAAGTCTCTTGTTTTCTCCTGTTTTTTAGATGGTAACTTGTTTTCTAAAAGAAATCTCCTGTTTTCTCCTGTTTTTAAAGAAAATCTCCTGTTTAGACTGAAAATCTCCTGTTTTTAAGATGGTAACTTGTTTTCTAAAAGAAACCTCCTGTTTTCTCCTGTTTTTTAAAAGAAGTCTCCTGTTTTCTCCTGTTTTTCAGTAAAAGTCTCCTGTTTTTCTCCTGTTTTTTGCAAAATATCTCCTGGATTCTCCTGTTTTTTTTAAAAGGACTATTAAAAGTATGACTGACAAAAATACTAAATATATGCGCTTGGTCGAATTTGCCCCAAGCAATAGATTGGTTGTACACTGTAAGACTGCCCGATCAACAAAAAATCGCTTCGATATATCAAAAACAACACTAAAATAGCTCAAATGAACATTATGCAATGCCGGCTTTATTTTATGACGAGACAGATGTCCGATCTAGAAATAAAGGCATATGGGTACATAAATTCATCCATAATTAAGCATACATTGAGATAGAATAATGTTTAAAAAATGTTAAAGATTTAACTCTTTAAAGACTGGGTCAGGACCCACGTACGTGGGTACGAGGGTACGTGGGTAGGAGGTTTTTTATACAAAGCCATATTTTTCACTCTCAAAATCATCTGACTAAGGATTGTGTTGCCTTTACTATGTAAATACTTCATCATAGATTCTATTGAATCATATTTCTTAGTCATATGCAGGACCAATCAGAGAGTGAGGAATATGACAGTGCATTACATTTATTGGCATGGGATGGTTCACAGAAAAATAATACATGTACTTATATATTTACATGTCATTGTTTTGACAGATGTACTTGTATATTTGCTACATTTTGGGGATAAAGATCAAGTTATGCTACAATCAAGCATTAGTTATTCCATCTGAAATTAAAGATTCCCTAGACCATTGTGAATAAGTTAAGAGAGATATTTTAGTGTATCTCATACTTGAATGGGTTTGTGGTTGATATAACCCTGGAATATATATCATATCTGAGGAGCATATGTCAATGTCCCGCTCCAAGCCAAATGCTGGCAGATATTATATAGCTCACGGGAATTTTTCAAATGTTAAAAAAAGTTTAAAAATCAAAAAATTAAGGTGACTGTTAACTTAATCGATTTTCAGAAAAAATCTTGAAATTTTCAAACTCTTCCTGAGAAGTTGTTTTTATTATTTAACATATGCTTGTGCACTGTAATCATTACAAAGACATCAAAGAACAACAAAAAACTTTAGTTTGAGAAAAAAAGTGCCGTTTAAAGAATTTGAGAAGATTTTTTTCTAGGAGTAGCCCGTGAAAAACCGCTGATTCAAAATATCTGAACATTTCAGAAAATATACTTCAAACATATATCAAAAACGAAGGAGCAATGGAAATTTGAAAAATTACCGGATAAAAAAATTGGGATCAAAATAAGGAAAAAAGTACACTTCTCAAATTGTTTTTTTCTATTTTTTTAAAATTTGTATGAGAGATTTCAAAATTCTAAAGCTCCTTCCATTTTGGGCTATATTAAAGGGATGTTTCAGAGAAATTAGAAAAAAAAATGTTCAGGGACCTTTGCCGTGCTACTCTTTTTGTCAATTTTTCTGTCACATTTTCAGAGGACTCAAATTCCCATTCCAAAATGTTTACTGATTCTATTTGCATTTCCACAGTGAGCCTGGTTATATAAATGATAAGTGGAACTAAAAAATTGAGAGAAAATCCAACCAAAAGACAGTTAATTTTGATGGTCAGATTATACTCAAATGCCATGTGCTTCCTGGTTTCGGCCATCTTGGATTTTTGATTAAGTTATAAGTTACCTTAAAAGTTGGAAATTTTAAATTTTGAAAGTTTCAAAATTTTTGAAAAGTTTTAATGTTACAATTTTATTGTATTGAACTAAAGGAATATTACGAAAATGTTAATCATAAATTTTGCTTTTACTATAGGCCTATTTTGTCATTTGAAAAGGGTTGAAAAGGTTATTTCTACCCCAAAACCACTCAAGTATGAGATACACCACTTATGTACGGTCCCTTCGGTCCCTCAGAGAGATATAAATATATTATTATATCAGGATTTATCCAATATCCAAAACCTCCCAGTACATAACCCTTATCTATTTACTGAATGATTCTCCCAACACGTTTCAACAAGTTAGTTTCACTAGCTTCATGCTGATCATGACATATATAACTTCATAAAAATAGGCCACATTTGGGCTGCCTCATGACATTAGGATTCTATGTATAGTTAGATTATACTATGACCTTTGACCTTAGAGATCCCTAACTTTAGTGTAAGGATGTAAAATAATGCACATTACTTCTCTCTACTCACTCTCTTGTGCCTCAATGCTATATTTACCTTAAATGAAATATAATCCCACCTTCCCAAACCAGCTTTACTTAACTATAAATGAAAATGGATACAATTAAAATTGAAATAACTGCATTTTTATTATGAATAAATTGATTGACAATAGAAACAGTCAATAATGTTTGTTTATAGAATTGTTTTAAAGATACATCTTTACATATTATTACATTAAAAACATGTATGACACCCCAAGAAAACATTCTTTTCGACAGAAAAAAACATGTACAAAGTCTTGTTATAGTTTCAAAACTATTTTGATCCTTTTGTGACAACTAGTAAAAACAACAATATTTACTACAGGACCTTTTTCAGGAAAAACTAATTCTAACAGAATGACTTCATGGGGTGGTTTAAAGTACTTCAGTATAAGAAGCAATATGTAAATACCTATATAAGAAACCTAACCTTTTTTCAGAAGAAATCTGGATGTGTTTATTTAGAAGTGAAAATTGGATGAATATGTAAAAATGATCTTGAACCATACAAAATAAATGTTCAGCACCTATAGTCCTGAGGGATTGGAGTATTGATATGTGTTGGTTATATGTTACAGCACCATTGGCTAATGCCCTAGCTCGGCGGTATGGAGCACGTAGAGTTGTGATGACAGGTGGTGTCATTGCTGCATCTGGTATCATAATTACTTCCCAGGCCACCAGTATAGAACATGTCATCATATGCTATGGAGGTTTAGGAGGTATGGGCACATTTCACCATGATTGTTCATTTTTTCATGAACTGTATTAGTGATGTGTAATCAAAAGCATAGACAGCAGGCAGGTCAGTCATTTTCTATGAACTATGAATTCTTTCTGAAACTTCAATGTCCATTTTAAGATTCAGTGCTTAGGTTAAAATCCATTTAGGAAATAAACCAGGCATAACAAAATTTATACATCACTGTTTATTCATTGCAGGATTTGGCTTGGGCCTCACACTTGGTCCAAGCTTAGTGACTGTTGCCCAATATTTTGACAAGAGACGTGCCTTAGCAAATGGTATTGCACTGTCTGGTGGCAGTGTCGGGGCATTTGTAATGCCACCACTGTTGCGATTTTTACTCGACAAATACTCAACAAGAGGAGCAATGATGATAATAGGTGCCTTAGTGCTTCATATATGTGTCAGTGGCAGTTTGTATAGACCAATATCATCATTTGGTCCTATGCCTAAACAGAGAAAGTCAGAAGAGGAAGAAGAAAAACAGAGCATGATGGAGAATAAAGAAGAACCTAATAATTCTTCTGTTAGTGATGTCAAGGCCACCAATGGTCCAAAGACAGCTGACACATTCACTGATGCGCCATTAGCCAAAGTGCTACTGCAGAGGAAACTCCAAGGACACATAGCTAATAATACACCTGTTATAAGTAATGGGAAACATACTCCTTTAACCCTACAGCAACAGGGGAGTACACTGGATGAAAACAAATATTATGCTAGTGCTACAGACATAGCAAATGTTGGACTATATACTGCTGATATGCCTCGACGACATACTGCAGATACCACATTATTAAAAAGACCAACCACATCCAAGACTGACCATGGAATAAAGAGAATTAACAAACATGAAACATTCCTTTATGCAAGTGACTTTTCCCTTGCTGCTATATCAACAGAAGACGTTAGAGCAGGCCATGAGATACCAGTACAACACCATAAGGATGAAGATAATAAAGTAAAGCCATCTGATGAAAATATCAAACTGTGTTCACTTGAAGGATTAAAAAACAAATTAAATTCCACATTTCCAGTTGAAATGAGCTTACTTCGAAACTCAATATTTTTAACATTCGCACTAGCAAATTTGTTCGGAAACTTTGCATTTGTGAACATCATTGTATTTATTCCCGCCTATGCAAATGATTTAGGAATACCCAAGGGTCAGGTTGCCATAGTCGTCTCCATATTAGGTGGTGTGGATCTCATCAGTCGTATCTCTCTAGGATGGTTTGCAGATCTACAGATAATTAAACGGGTGCATATTCTTGCAATTGGGTGCTTTGTAACAGGTAAGTCCATGTATTATTACAATCCTTGATTTGCTGGTTTTCCCAAATAAGGTTTTCAAATTTTAATTTCCAACCTCTATTGCAGTGTAGAATGTCTTGCAGAATTAATCTTAGTTTATTAAATGTTTACAAAATATGCTTCACTGAGTAGACAGTGTACTACATTTCTGCAAAAAACATTGTTTCAATGATTAACTAATTAAAGGGGCAAGGGTCAAAGTAGTGACACCTAAAACCTAATAAAATACATTTTGGGTTAGAGATAAAACCACTTAAAAAATCAGTACATGTTTAATTATATTAATTTTCAGAGAGAAAACCATCTGAAATGTAATAAGTTATAGTTGGTCAACAGTGAAATTAATGTCAAATGACTCAATCACACTTGATCTACGGCAACAATACGGCGGCTGTAGCTTCCCAAATTCGAGAGAAATATGCAGCATAAAATACAATGATAAGCAGTATGATCTACGATGTAGATTTTCTATATCAATTTTTGGAATCTACGGCCTCTGTACGGCCGCCTTAGAGAATGTGACTGAAGCTTCAGTCTTTGCTGTGAATTTAATAGTTGAAATTCAATGTACACGCAATTTGCCTTATACTATACTTTACTTCACAGGGGTCTGCTGTATATGTGCTCAATTTATAAATGGTTTTGTCGCCATGGCCATATATTGTGCAGCCATAGGTGCAGCATCTGCACCATGGATATTTCTACGGAATGTTGTCCAGATTGACCTATTTGGAGTCGAGATCATCTCTAATGTAATAGGCCTTTCAATGGGTAGTAATGCGATTCCACTCTTGTGCGGTCCACCATTTGTAGGCAAGTTTGCCCAACTTAGTGATGTTTGGACTAACGCAGAGCACAAACATAACTCATTTTTTTGATATCATTAAATTGTTCTCCCAAATAAATTTGTTCTCAAAAAGGAGTTCTGTGAAAAAAAAATTCCTATCAATAGAAAATGGTACGTTATCAAAAATGTGAATGATTTTTTGGACCATCCTGTATTTTGTGAGAATCTATAATCCTTCAATAACTACAATATCACATTGTTATATGTTTATGCTCTGAGTTCCGAACATCAATCAAGTAGAAAGTAATAGTCTCAAATATATGTAAGATTAATGTACATTTTTATAGGTATTGCTGATACAATGCTTCCACTTGCGCAGTCATACCATGCCCTTTTGGCAGTAACAGCTGTCTCATTTGCAACTGGTGTTTGTACTGTTTTACTCAGCAATGTCATACTCATTGACTTTATTGGACTTGAAGCATTTTCTCATGCCATTGGAGTTATTGATATGGCTGATGCATCGTTTTTTCTCTGGGGACCTTATTTAATGGGCAAGTCAATATTCTGAAATCTTAAGACATCTGAATTTAAAATGAATTAAGGAGCAATACTAGCAGATAGTGTAACTAACAGTTATATATATATGTACAGTATTGATTTTGGGGTTTCTTCTCATATAACAAGAAATGGGCAGGTCTTCGGGCCAATTCAGTTTCTCAGAGAAATGCTAAACAAAACAGGTTGGTCATGAAAAATCTCTCTCCTTGAAACTGGAAAATAGTAGCTCCACAGAGTAGCAATCCCGTAGAACAATATATGCCATGATATAATGTACAATAATATACAATCTCCATAAAAAGGCATATATCAGTGATACCTCAAGATTGGGTTTACCGAGGCTTGAAAACTGAAAAATGCTTTTAACACACTGCACCCTCATCCCTGCTTTATTTAACACATATGTAAATCATTGCAATTGAAATGCTGATAATTCTTTTTGACAGCTTTATCTTATTAGTATGATGAGATCCTTTATAGTCACTAAGTCTTAAGAAAGATGGCATTGTGGTTTGTCTATTTTAAATCTCTGCTGCCATCTTTCTATCAATCTATTAATATTGCCAATTTGCCTATATTTCTTTTAAAAAATGTTAATGTTCAATTCTATCATTAACAGGATGGTTGAGAGACACCACCAAGCAGTATTTCTGGCCATTTAGAGTATGTGGCATCTCCATGATGGTCTCATGTTTCTTGCTCATTGCCATCCTACCCCTGGCTCAGAAACACCAGGCCCGTAAGGAGAAAAGAATTGCCGAGAAGGAAGAGGAGATAAGACTTACTGACCAGCAAGTATAAACAGCTTATCATAAATCAACAGTTCAACTGACGGCTAAAGGGACGCACATTTAGACATTAATCCTGGGATATTCTAAATGTATATGAACATGCAGTCACAGGATATTTTAAATAAATGTGAACTATAAACGTGTAAACATATCAAGGTAACTTGAACTTATTCAAGTCAATGAATTTCATGAGTGAATTTCATTGATCAAAAATAAAGAGTTTAAATGTTAGAGAAAAATATAGGCCTACCAGGCCCGTAGCCAGGATTTTCCAAGGGGGGTTCAGTTTTCAAAAATTTACAGGGGGGATTCACATTTGACAATTTTGGCCAAAATATGGCTAGAATCACTTGAGAAGTGCTCAAATGGTGAAACCTGCATGATTTTGAACCCTGCGAACTCCCCCTAGCTACAGGCCTGCCTACCATATTTTGAAGACAGTTGTAGAGAAAAGCTAGATAAGACTTCATCAATTTATGTTATTACTGTTATAACATGAAATAGCTTAAAGACATACTCCAAAGAGAAATAAAGATACCGGATTTTCTCGCATATACGCCCCCCTCAATTTAGGCCCATGGGCCAAAAATCAAATATAGTACGCTTATACGCCCATGGGCCTATAAAAAATGACTATTTATTGATTTTTTCAATAAATTCAAGAGTATTTTGTCACTGGCAGATCGTTCTGTCGTACTTTGTTTCATTGTATAACATTCATTAACAACTTAACATTCCATTGTATTCATCAGCTCTTCTCACCTTTACGCCCACTGGGCCAAAAATCGAAAGTAGTACACTTATACGCCCATGGGCGAAAAATAAGAGGTAAAATAACAGACGAAATTGCCCCTTCTTTCAGTTATACGCCCAGGGCTTATATGCGAGAAAATCTGGTATGTTCTATATTTTGGCTTATATATTTGAAATGCCAAATTTTGCACTTGACCAAGTGAGCCTTGTCATATACTTAAATAAGCTAACCACATTTCACATTGTTTAAGACTTGTTGTAAATATCAGAGAGCTTCATGGTCATTAAGTCTCTGGACCCCTTATCTATTTCCCCACCAGAAGTAAGGTATTTCAATGAACTTATGGAGGTTACAAGGACTTAAAGATAGATTAAGCATTCCACAAACTTTAATATTGAGTTGATATGCCACTTTTTAAGTGAATATTACTGCATTGTTTCAACTTGAGATATTTGATGCAAGTGCAAACGAATGTCTGAAACAAGTTGATGAAGACTGTGAAACTAGTCTCATGAAAAAATACATGTACAATATTGCAGTATTAATTGAGTCCATTATTTAAGTAGAACTGCTGAAAAAACAGTGTATCTCAATCAAAATATTCTAGCTTAATAGTTTTGCATATATTCTTAAAAATATAGGAATGAATAAGTAAACAATAGTTTGATAGTTATATAGCCTTACGCTTTGTACTTATCAATCGTGTACATTACAAGTGAAAAGGGTTAATAAAGAGTAAAAAGTATCAGTTGTTTCTGTTTTACTTGATTTTGGGAGACAGAATTTAATGTGACATAGGAGCCTTGCTAGTTATGTTTGAATGAGTTGTCTAAGCTGATGAGGAACAGTTATATCAAAAGTATATGGAGGTTACACTACTAAATAAAGAACTAACCATAGATTGTAATTGTTTATATTAGAAATAAATTGATAACATGAAACAAAAAACTAGCCCATAGAGAGACAGAATTCTACATGTTCACAGACAAGTTCTATTGAAAATGTGTATTACCTAAGTTAGTATTAAATGAATTTGGGATATTGGGGGTTTGTTTTTGCTTGTGACTGCTTGTGCTCTAATAGCGCTCTACATGTTTATATAAACATTCAACACTTAAATGACTGGAGCAGATATTGAGATATGACACAAACACAATTCCATGCCAAAGCAGTCCAGTTTGATGTCAAAATATTGTATCCACTGTGAAGAGGTCTATGCAAATAAATTTTGACCTACCATCTTTGCAGTAACATTGGTAACGATTCTGTTGATCTTCACACAGAGCCTCATTCTGACATGGTGATGACGAGCATTCATCAACATCTGTTTCACAGAGATCCCCGATAAACCCTAAAATGTGCATACACAATAAAGACTTCTATGTTGCTGCTAAGTATATTATATACAAGTACCTTAATTTCAAAATTCAGGTTAAATAAGTTAATAAGTTTATACATACTGGAAGTATGACAAAAATAAATGCATGGCAACTTGGGGTGTATTTTTGCAGGAATTTTTAAATTATGAACTCTTGCTCTTTTTAATGTTCTCTACCATGATGTTCATGGGACAGCTTAATATCCATGTATAGGAAGGAGTAATGATTTTTTAAGCTTATAATGCTGACGGAAATGACCTGCTGGTAACAAATCTTTCACAAGATCAGAATAACCAATTAATGACAACATGAATCAAGGCATTGACACACAAAATGCAACCACGTGCCATTTGTTACAGAGGCAAAACACCGACTACCCAAAGCCTACAATCCAACACCAAACACAATCCACAATAAAGTTGGAGACTATAACAATATGTTACCACTTGTGATGGGGACAAAACAAAATTAAACAGAGTACAGTGTATGCACCTACCTGGTGGGCAACTGCAAGTGTAGTTCACCTGGCCATCGTTACAGGTTGAGTTGTTCTCGCAAAGATGCCCAACACAGAAGTCTATATCTTCCCCACAGAGCACACCTGTGTACCCTGGACTGCATCCACAACTAAACCCACTTGGTTCATGCTCTCTATACAAAAATAAGAAAAAACATTCAATAGTATTAGACTAGATTCACATTTTTGGAGATCAATACTTTTATAACTTGCTCATATTCAATGCATATCCATTGCTAGAATTCTTAATTGGTGAAATATTTTAAGCCCATTTGATTGATCAATTAAACAGTAAATCTAAGATATGAGCTTTACATTTTATTTCTCCTCTATGCATAACAAACAGACTTGAGATATTTGGATACCTGCATGTTCCATTGTTCAGACAGGGGCTTGGGATGCAAAAAGGAATATAATCCTGACACTGATCCCCTGTATATCTGTTGGCACATTGACACATGTAGCTCCCCACTTCATCCACACATGTACCATTGTTAATACAGGGAGAGCTTGAACACTCATCAATGTCTGTCTCACATTGCTCCCCAGTATAGCCATCCAGACATGCACATCTGGAAAGAAATCAAATAGCCTTCAAAGTCTACAACATGTCTTTCTTTGGAGGTATATGCACATTTATACCAACAACTAACAAGGCATTTAAAAACATTGAAAATGTCACCACCTGCCATTTGTTACAGATGCTACAGCATTTCCAAAAAACTGGAAACTACATAACAATATGTCCGACTTCTTGTTGTAACATAAAAATGATAACTAGAAAAACAGCAACTCCATGGAGTAGCAAATCCCACCGAACAAAACATGTTTTGATAAAAAAAATTGAGCCAAATTCATCCACTGGTATTTGAATTATCAAAGATTATGTCTTTATGAAACATGATTGCCATTTTGAAATTCAGCTGTCATCTTTAGATTTCTTTTTTAGCAGAGAATGTCCGTCCAATGGTATCTGGGTTATCAAAGGTTACTTTTTTAATGAAAAATGGCAGCCATTTTGAAATTCAGCTATCGCCTTTGAAATTTCTTCTGAAGCAGATCTCCTTTTTCCCTAAACATCAGCATATAAAATTGGAACCAAATCCATCCACTAGTATTTGAGTTATCATTAATTACGTTTTTTTTACAAAAAATGGCAGCAATTTTGAAATTCAGTGGCCATCTTGAAAATTCATTTTTGAGCAGAACTTCTTTGTCTCTAGGCATCAGCATATAGAATTTGAACCAAATCCGTCAACTGGTATTTGAGTTATCAAAGGTTACGTTCTTTTATGAAAAATGGCAGTCATTTTGAAATTTAGCTACCACCTTGAAAATCCCTTCTCGAGCAGAGCTCCTATGTCCCTAGGCATCATCATGTAAAATTTGAACCAAATCCATTCAATGGTAATTGAGTTATCAAAGATAATGTTTTTTTATGAAAAATGGCCGCCATTTTGAAATTTAGCTGCCATCTTGAAAATCCTTTCTTGAGCAGAGCTCCTATGTCCCTAGGCATCAGCATCTAAAATTTAAAGCAAATCCATTCAATGGTATTTGAGATATCAAAGATAACGTTTTTTTTTACGAAAAATGGCCGCCATTTTAAAATTTAGCTGCCATCTTGAAAATCCTTTCTCGGGCAGAGCTCCTATGTCCCTAGGCATGAGCATCTAAAATTTGAACCAAATCCATTCAATGGTCTTTGAGTTATCAAAGATAACGTTTTTTTACGAAAAATGGCCGCCATTTTGAAATATGGTGGCCATCTTGAAAATGTCTACTTGAGCAAGGATCCTTTGTACCAAGGCAACATCATTTAAAATTTGAACCAAATCCATCCACTAGTATTTGAGTTATTAAAGATTATATTTTTTCCCAAAAATGGCCGCCATTTTGAATTAAGCGGCCATATTGAAAATTCCTTCTCGAGCCGAGGTCCTACACCCATAAGGCATAAGCCTATAAAATTTGAATGAAATCAGTCAACCAGTATTTGAGTTATTGCCCGGACACACGAACGGACGGACGGACGAACGGACGGACGGACGGACGGACGAACGGGCGGACGGACGGCTTTTCTATATCCCCCTCGAACTTCATTCGGTGGGATAAATACGTGTTATCATGAATTAAAGATTCATTATTTCTTTCTGTCAATCCCCTCATGATAGGTGAATTTGTTCAGATTTGGAAAGAGATTCAAGAAACATTCATTCCAACAATTTCAGAAAACAGACATTATGCTATGGTAGGTTTTGGATATAGGATAATCCTGAGAGCAATATATAATACCTTGCCAAGACCCATGGATAAATAGATATAATGTACCTGTATCCATCTATGAACTGTGTGCAGGTCGCCTCATTCACACATGGTTCACTCAAGCACTCATCAACATCTTCTGTACAGTTTTTTCCTGACCAGCCAGGAAGACACTGGCACTCATATCCCTCTTTAATAGTTATGCAGGTCGCACCATTTGCACACACCTGAAAAATAATTTGTAGGATGCTTATAACAGAGCAGATCTATAAGCCCAATAAATCTGATAATCGTGTATAAAATTACATTCATTTTCCCTTTCTTCTTCATGATTTAATCCTGCCTTTAAAGGATATACATGCAGGAATACATTCATATCCGATGTTGTTTGGGAGGAAAAAAATATTCATAGACTGTTTTACATCTGAGATTACTGTTTGCAAAATCTTCAGATGAGTGAAAATCTATTCCAAGTTATTTAAAACTAACCTGTTCAGCACAGTAGTCTCTGTCACTGATTACTGTTTGCAAAATCCTCTGATGAGTGAACATCTATTCCAAGTTATTTAAAACTAACCTGTTCAGCACAGTAGTCTCTGTCACTGATTACTGTTTGCAAAATCCTCTGATGAGTGAACATCTATTCCAAGTTATTTAAAACTAACCTGTTCAGCACAGTAGTCTCTGTCACTGATTACTGTTTGCAAAATCCTCTGATGAGTGAACATCTATTCCAAGTTATTTAAAACTAACCTGTTCAGCACAGTAGTCTCTGTCACTCTCACATTGTGGACCATAGAATCCTTCAGCACATGAACATGTGTATCCATTAATGCCATCTAAACAAGAAGCTGAGTTCTTACAAGGGGAACTCTCGCATTCATCTATATTGACTCCACAATCTAACCCTGTGAATCCTGTGGCACAAACACAAGAGAAGAGGAACCCTGTTTCACTATCCTCACAGGATCCACCATTTTTACATTTTGATGTTGGAGCCTCGAAGCAAACATCAATGTCCACTTCACACCTACTCCCTGTCCAGCCTAGAAAATAAAAAACATATATAAATATTAATTGATTGTATCAACATATTTTATGAACAAGATTGTAACACATTTTGTGGACATTAAATTAGCATATTTTGTGAACATGATTGTATGAACATAATTTGTGAACATGATCCTTCAAGTGCCTTAAAATGCAAAATACTTAGATATTGACTTTTAACCTTGAGATGACCTTAACCCATAAACACTGACCGTGACATAAGGTCACCTAAACATTGGTCACTAAGGGTGAACATGCTTGGAACATATTTCATGAACATTAGCATGTTTTATGAACATGGTTAAATAAACATATTTTGGGAACATGATCATATCATTATATTTAATATCACCCTCACAGAGAAAACTGATCATGTCACAGTCAATATAAAATATCCTGATCTCAATAATTCCAAAATGTTATTGATTTCAGTGCAAAGGAAGCTGAGATATTGCTAGTCACTAGTGTTGTCGCGATGTGGCATAATCGTACATCGATGCATCGGCAATTTTCAGTAGTAAACATCGATGCACATCGCGATGTACATCGAGAAAAAGTCCAAGAAAAGTGCACTGAAATACCGAACACTAATGCACTAAAATACCGAACAGAACAAATTAATAAGAGCACGCTGGTACATCCGGGAACTTCTAGTAACGGTGAAATGAAAGTAAAGTAATTTTTTTAGATTAGGTTAATGGTTCATTTCGACTAGCTAAAACAGTTTTAATGCAAAAGAATAAAAGAAAACATTTGAAAATGAAATAAGACATGAGAAAGGTAAGCGATTTGTGTCAAAATAAGATAAGAGTGATTTTTAGCAAATTAATTTTTTTTAAACGATCGATGTTTTGTTTTAGACATCGATGCATCGCCAGAATCAGCTTTGGCGATGTATATCGCGATGTATCGATTAATCGCGACAACACTACTAGTCACATACCTTCAGGACAAGTACACAGAAAGCCATCTAACATATCTGTACAATTCCCAGCATTTAGACAAGGGTTTGATGCACACTCATCAATCTCTGTTTCGCAGTCAGTTCCTGTGTAGCCTGACAGACATATGCACTGATAATCTCCAGGGCCCTCTACTGGGCTTGTATCTATACATGTAGAGGCATGGACACAGGGCTCATATGAGCAGAGGTTATCTATTATCTCACAGCTTGATCCAGTCCATCCTGGCTGGCACTGACATGATATTGGCCCATTGGTACTCTGCACACATAATCCTGAAACATGTTTTTTCATATATTTAATACACAAAATTTTTCAAACACCTCTCCATTCAATCAAGGGTATTGTAGGAGGGTGTACAAAAGCATGAGAGGGGGTCAAGGTAATCTGGCTCTGAATGGAAAATGCAAAACGTAGTAAATGCAAAAAGTAGTTGCTAAGCAAAATTAGACCTGTTACAACACAGGTGGTAAGTGACAGTGACTATTTTTACCACCGGTGAGTTGGATTTGGCCACCTATGACAAAGTAATATAAAACAGGTCAAATTTATTTTTCGCATTTTTTCATATTACAACTATTCTTCATACTATTTTGGAGGTTCAACCCTTGTGAAGACCTGATTACTTTTTAGTATAAATTCTAAATACAACATGTATCTGAAAAACACATACCTCCATTAGTACATATCTCTTCATTCTGTGGACAGAGAGCAATTAGGATCTCACAGGAGTCCCCCTTGAATCCCAGGGTGCAATTACATGTGTAGCCTCCTGTGTGTGGCACACACTCCGCATTGTTTTCACAGGGTGTTGACTCACAGAAGTCTATCTCAGCTTCACAATTGCTACCTGTAATGTATATTAAGCATTCGTTCATTATGAATATGGTGACAATAATTTCAGCCTACTCGTTAAAACGGGTGTATGGAACAGTTACAATGTTATTTTCCAGGCTAAAAAGAAACTGACTCCAGATCTCTGGAGTTTATGTTGCACCTGAACATGAGATGGTTGTATCCTGAATATTAGACGCAAGAAAAAAGCTCCAGAGGCAGGATAAAACCCACTAACCTGTGTAACCCTCAGGACAGATGCAGGAGAAAGATGCAACATTATCCACACATGTAGCATTCTGCGGACAAGGAGAGCTATCACACTCATTCAGGTCTGTCTCACAATGCAGTCCTTTCGATATAAAAAATACATGTAATTAGTAAATTGGACATTTTCTGTTCTTCAGGTTATTATCTCAGCCTTTTATAAATCAAGAAGGCAAAATGAAAGAGATGAATAGGTTGAGTCTGGAGCCATTTCTTATAGGTAATGGAGGACAAAATGTACAAATCATTTTTCATTTTTTATTGACAGTTAAAATTTTCTCACAAAACTAAGATTGTTCAAGATTATCAAGCATCAAATTTAAATCATCTCGATGTCCAATGTTGTCCACAGTTTAACATGGCATGAACATGCAAAATTGTCACCACCTGCCATTTGTTACAGACATTGAATACCAAACATGGTGCACAAGAAATTGGGAGACAATAATAGATGATAACTTTTAATCACAATTTCTGATGGTGATATAAAAACACAAAACATGGCTTTATCCCTCCTCCCAATCTCTGGCTGTAATGAAATTAGATTCACAAAAAATGACACAATTGATATATTTGAGAAGGTCCCTTAACATTTTATCTAACAATAATATAGTCCATTATAAAATGTACTGAATTATCAAATTTACAAAAGGAAAAAGAAAAGTAATTCTGTTTGGAGGGGTTGATGGATGAAAGTTTAATTTCATTTCAACGCCCGCAATAACAAAGAGGTGAGAGATTTATTATTCCTTTGATAAAAATTACTATTGTGAACAACTGGCAATTTGATATGACCCCTGATCCAATATGGAATATTGATACAAAAACTTGAAATCAGTATTAGTCAAAGGGCACAGTAACACTGCACATTAAACATTTATAATCAAATTATACAGATGGAAGTATGATCAATATAAAACCAAAGATCAATGCCATATGAACAACCAAAATTTTTTATGACATTATAAATACTCTTACTGACTTTCACTAATTAAATCTCAACTGTCTATGTTGTCATATTATGAACAGATGTCATGCAGCCATATATTAGAACCTTTATTCTACAAATTCAATTAAATATTTATAAGTTGTATCCAGTCTTAATTAATACCCTTTAATCAATAATTAACTCAAATTTTACTACTAGTATTTGATATATGAAGCACTATTGATTTCTCTGCTTTTCTCAATACTAATTGGATCTGATTTATTTCAGGAACATCTGTAAATAACAACTTTTATCTTATTATGTGGAAAATAAATTGATCTGATGAATAAGAATCACACTTGTTTGGTTTAATCAATGCAAATTGAACATATTAAATACAGCAAGTGTTCAGATTTTTTTCTAGATTATGTCCATGTTATATTTTAGGTCCGATGTCAAAATATGCCACAAGCCAACATGATTTGGCTTATTCCAATGTACTCCACTCATTTATATCATAACAGGGCATTAAAATACAAAATGTCACCACCTGCCATCTCTTACAAATGCCGAACACCAACCACCAAACACCAACTATTGAATGCCAACCAGTGTCCATAAAAAAGGTTGTGGCTCACATGGTGTTGCTCAAAAATAGGAAAGTGAATTTTGTGCGACAAAAATGTCGGCCATTTTGAAAATAGGCGAGCTTTTGAACCAGAGGTCATAGGGTGTCTTCTGTATTGATGTTGAACAAAATAACTTAAAACTGGAATCCAATCGACAGAGGTTTTAAAACGGCCACTTTTGTTGACAGACAGATGGACAGAGGGACTGACAGACGGACAAGTGAGAGATTGCAAAAGCTCACCACGTGAGCTAACAATATGTCACCACTTCTGGCGGTGATATAAAAATATAAACAGTTTTAATTTCAAAGCTTTGAAGAATGAATTTACTCAGCTTAATTATTTTTCTCCAAAAACAAGTAAAGATGCAAAGTCTACAATTTTGTACCTTTAATAGAACAAAAAGAGCAAAACTAAAGAGCCAGAAGCTATTAGAATTAAGCATGTCCAAATAAATCAATGCGTTCTAATACAAAGTAACATCCCTGAAATTTCAAATCAATTCATCAAGTAGTTTGTGTGGAAATGTGTAGACATTTGCAAATAAAACTTTGCCGATAAACTAGTTTAAAATTTACCCAGCATACCCAAAAACTAACCAGTTCTAAATTTTCTCATCAAGACAAGACCCTGTAAATATCAAATCAATCCATCAAGTAATTTGTCTGCAAGCGCAAATGAACAGAGAAGAAGATTTGTGGTACTGACATGACCCACCAAGCTGACAAGAATATTGTACCTTTTTTACCAGCTAAATGGTAGATACAATTTTCAATATATACAGGATAGATTTCCTACATCAGATAAGTACAAATATACAGGGTGTCTCTAAAGTAATACAATTATAATACTAAGTCTCAGACCTTTGTAAAGAGATTTTATGGACACCCAGTACTACAAAATATCAGTACTTTCCATGGGAATCTGTCATTACTAGAGTTTCTTAATAAAAGAATCAGATCAGTTAACATTGTTTCTACCTAGATCAATCCATACACATACCTGTGAATCCTTCAGTACAGCGACATATATAGTTGGCTAATAGATTTTCACAGACAGCTCCATTCTGACAAAGTCCTTCCTCACAGAACTGCTTCAACTGAAGACAATCTGCACCTATAACAGAACACATTAGATACCTTTGAGAGATCTTGTTTTTACTCATGATATGGCAAGATGTTTCTCAATAAACTACATGGAAATGATAAGGTTTTTTTAAAGAAGATTATTCAGTATCAAAATGATTCCTTTTGAAAGTATAAAAATGTTATCAAATGGTATTTTCATTATTATTTGGAAACCAAGCACTATAAGAACCATACTGTATTTCAAAATCTATTGGAGAATTTGAATTATATTTGTTCTAATCGAAACATGAAAGACCATTAAATTGAATTGTAACACAAAAATTGATGTCAAAAATACCTTACAATAGAAAGAGAACTTCTCGAATACAATTTATGAAAATTACAAATAAACAAAAATTGAATGAGACAAACCTTCAAATCCATGAGAGCAATTGCAGGTATATGAGTCTGGAGTTGACTGTAGACATGAACCATTATTGCAGACTGCATCATCACAGACTCCAATGAAGTCTGAACATGTAGTCCCTAGAAATCACACAATCAGGTCATGCTACAGCTTAATGAAATATGTAACTAGCTATGAGGCACAACAGGCCCAAGACTGCAGGCAAAATTTTTCAACATGATTTTGACTAGAAATGTAAAAGTGATGCCCTGTTATTTGCTTAAGTTTTGACTTGTCTATTCAAGATCCTGATTAGAACTACCTATTTAACCAAAATGCCTGAGCTTTTAAACAAACTTTTATTGCCATTCATTTTCGCAAACACAATTAAATCAGACTATCAAACAACCTGACTTATGTTGAACTAGTATGTCCATTATACAGATCTGTAAAAGATTCATGTAATATTTCTACTATATACAAGATTTATAACGGAGAAATGCAAGACTACTTACCTGTATGTCCTTCTGTACAATTACATGTAAAGTTACGTCCTTCCAAACCCTGGTGGTAGTCAGTACAATCTCCCTCATAGAGACAAGGCTGGTTTTCACATGCATTATACTCCTGGCAGTAGAGCCCTGTGTATGGGCCCTGACAATCGCATGTGTAGTCTAGCTGTAGATAGTTGGAAACACAGCTGCCATGTCCAGAACAAACTTCACCTGAATCTTCATATAGGTCACAATCCTGGTTTTTCACAGTCAAGTTTAACCTCAGTCCAAAATCACAATTTGAAAAAAATCCATTTGGCATCTGCACGTAGTAATGGATCCCAGGGGTAAGGAATTTATCTGACACTTGTACTCGTGAGGATGACCCCCCTGGTGTTATATATAAATCAGGGGGATATGTCTTATCAGCACAGCTTATCCAGTCAGTTAGATTCACATCCCCTGGGTTTACTTTGTAGAATCCATGACTAGGGGGTTCAAGGTAAAGGATGTCCCCTATCTGCATTTGCAGTGGACAAAGCTGCACAGCAAAATCTTCCTCACTATTTGGACTCTCATATCCATGGCAATCCTGAAAATTACTGCACACTGTATCGATGTGCCACTCTACTGTATGTATACTCGTAGTATTTTTCCATTCGATCCTATCAAAGGGAGCAGGCTGTATGCAGGTTCTCTGGCCCCATATAGCACGAGTTAAGAATACGTGTAGTATGCACAGGTATGTCACAGATCTAACTTCTCCAGCTCTCATTTTGCAAGTTTAATCATGACTGACCGATTACGGAGACATGACCAATCACCTGTAAAAATATAAACTTGTTATTGCAAAAATATCTGATCCTGACCTAATTATAACTTTTAAGGCTAGATACAATGGCAACAGGCATGGCCTGGCGATAATCACTTTTTTCTTTACTGAATAACCGACCAACTGATTATCGTGATTGATTAAACTTCAAAGGGCTAATTACAAATGACACTGCTGGAATACAATCTCTTGTCTAAATAAAATGATCAACCTGTCTGTGATAAGAAGTATAAAGGAATTTAAAATGTATCTAATATATTATACAATTAGACAGACTGGCTATTTTAATCCGTTATGAAAAGCCATTTGTCTTTTCCACAACAGGATGTTTCTACGGAAGTTAATTTGTTTATCTTAGTGTTTAGTTAGAGGCATTGTCCCTTGACGCTTTTATGAAATAAATGAACTTTGTGATGGGCTACAATTGTATATTCTTACATTACATTATTTTCATTTTAGGTCTCTCTTATTACATGTAGTTGCATTGCAGAATTCTAATGTTATTCTCTCCGTGTGCCGAAAGTACTTATACCCGTAGCCAAGGGGTGGGGGTGGTTCAAGGAGTGCGAGTGAACAGAATTCGAATTGAATACAAAATAAATACGTAACATATAAATATATAAGTACATAATGTCTAGCCAAGTCTTCTTACATTTTCTGAACTTCAAATGCGCCTTTTGACGTGTGGTAACAAAATACAAAATAAATACTTATGTTTCTCCAGCTTGTTTTTATTTGGCAATAAAACATGCATAAAGAGATAGCAAATTGTGCACAACCCGAATCCCCTCCCCGATCTGGTCGCGTTTACTGTGTATGTAATAATGTACAAAAGTAATGTAATAAAGACAATAATGCCCCCCCCCCCTATTGCAACATTTTTTCAATTAATAGTATTAGCTCGGAGCATCAACACACACGTTTGATTGAAATAATTCAAATCAAAGTTCGAAATGAATAAAGATAATGAAGGTTCTGTCTGACATTTGAGAACAAGAATTTGTCCAGTCAAAAATAGATTTCTAATATTTGATCTTGATCAGATGTATTTATTGATCCTTGTTTTTAAAACTACAGATGGTTCACTTAATTCTGAAGTAAACAAAAAATAATCCTATACCCGATTACTTGGTTCCCATGATACTGCCTATAAGCTATAATACTCATTTATCAAAACAAATATTAATTAATCCGTCCGTCTGATTGCATTTTGTTCCCTGGCTCAAACTAAGCAAACCCCGATTACAGTTCTTAATTCTTCACTTGAAACAATTTAGCCAACATGATACAATATTAAATTTTATTAATTATACACATATAAAGCCTAGTGTTATCAAAACCCATAAATGCTCACAATATAAATATAGTTTATTGTTATAACACAATAACAGATATCAGGGGCGTAGCCTACTTTCAGTCAGGGGGGAATGTGATTGCCAAAAATATTTCGGTTTTCAGTCGGGGGGGGGGGGGGGTGTGTGATTGTGACATAAACAAGGGGGTGCAATTATGACATAAACAAGCCAAAAATGATTTTTATATTGAATTTTACAAAAACTGGATGCAAGTTCCTTCCAAAGTGAGCTAGAAGCTTCAAATAAAAAGCATTTAAAACTCTTTGAGTCCTCTTTCTTAGGGTTTTTAATCTTTATTGGTTTTCGCACCCCCCCCCCCTCCTCCTTGGCTATGCCTATGGATATTTAGAAAGTTTCAAATCAATAACTCGGCAACCAACCACGCAAGTAACCAACCAAGCAACCAAGCAAACGACCATCCAAGCAAGCAGGAAACGAAGCAAGTAAAAAGCAAACCATGCAACTTACAAATAAAGCAAGCAAACAACCGACAAACCAACCAAGCAAGTAGCTAATTAAACTCTAATGCAAGAAACCAAGGAAGCAGCAAAGCAACAAAGAAAGAATGTTAGCAAGTAAACGGCCAATCAAGCAATCAATCGTGCTAATAAACAAGCAAACAAACAATCTACCATCCAAGCAACTAATTAACATAATTCAATAAGATTAAAATTTAACCTTGCGCACATTTGCTCTACGGTAATAATGAGTTATATAGAACTATCATATTGATTGCATTTATTAAACACAGAAATGAAACACATTGGAGCATACATGTAGTTAAATGATTGGGGATGGGAGGGGGTAGTGAACACACGAGATACTGAATTCTTCCTCTTAAACTTAATTTTCAGTGCTTGAATGAAGGCTTCCCTTTAACAGATTTAGGGAGTTTCACTACTAGTTTCACTGAGATTGAAGTTTTTCAATTGCCTTTGTTATAACATCTTATTTCAATACACTGGATATTATGTAAAAGTATTGATGTGTATTTCTTATTCCCGACAATCGAATTTCATATCAAACATTTTAATTATAGTTTTACAGTGGTATCACAACGTTATTGCTTCTATAAATGCAACACATTTACCAGATTTTGGATTGGACTTTCTACACGATGATAAAATATTTTCTTGGTGATATTCTTTAATTACTACTAATTAGTATAAACTATTGATTGAATTGCAGAAATCTGCTGCATTATAATTGCTAATGAAAAATCTTGAATCCTGGTAATTGAAGTTGGACAGCTAAATAAAATCTAACATTAAATGAAATTCTAAAAATGTGTTTCGTTTATTTTTTGTTTGGTTGATAATGAATTAAAAAAAGATATTTGAATGAAAAATTCAATTTCGCAAAAACTCATATTCTTTAGCTGGACAAAAACTATAGTTTGTTTATTCAACGGATAATAATTGGAAGCACTAGACGCATAAATGGCAGACGGTTCTTAATTGCTAATGAAAACAAAGCGATAATCAGTTGGGGGAATAATCACTTGACATAATAATCAGTTGGAATTTTTGCCATTGGCTACACATTAATAAGAATTGATTATCGTAATAACCAGTGAAAACACTGGTTATATTTGATTAATAAGTCTCGATAATCAGCGATAACCAGCAATAATAGTCTCGATAATAGGTTTTAACCAGATAATAATCATTTATTCACTGATTATTTGTGATTAAAATTGTTTATATTTGGTCACTTCGCCCAGTGCAAATAACTGATACAGAGATGATTACTAGTCACAATGGTAGATTTATACAAGAGGCCATTTTAGACTTTCACTTTCAAACCCTTTTTATTTAGTTTCACCTGAAATGAAGACAAGGCTGCCTAGATCCCCGGGCCAAGATCTGATGTGTTGGATTGTGGAATTTTAACTTACGAGCTTACATTAGAAAAATCCAAGGATCAAGATGTCACAAAAGAAATTTCAGAAAAATATTAATATTTTTCAAAAAAATAATACGCATCTTTATCATGATTATCCAGTTTTAGCAGTTAAAGAAGCCTGAGATAGATACATGTAACTCACATAATGTCCACAGGAAAAAAGATCATACCTATTGATCTACCTCAATTTTGCTATTTTAGCCATAAAATACTGCAAATGTAAGACCATGGGCTTTTATCTCTTGAAAGCCCATGTTAAGACCATTGCAGAATTTTTCAATTTGATTCAGAGTGCCATATTTTGGTGAATGGACTGATCAGATCACAAGACACATGCAAGACACATGCACAATCTCAATTAGCGGTAAGAGTTTAACCATCCAAATAAACTATTGGGGAATTGTTAACTCTCCATTGTATTGATGCACGAGTAGCAGATTTGGCCAGTGGGTACTAACACAGCTGTCTAAACCTTGTGTGTGTTCAGTAAAGTTAGTCTGTGGTATTCACTACAACATCACTGATTCACTGCTGCTTACTCTACCGAACTGGCTTTTGAGTTACTCTACCGAGCTGACGGCCTTTGAGCCAGCTGTGTTCAGTAACTTTTGAGCATTTGCATTTATTTGCAGTGACTTTTGAGCATTTGCATTTAGGCCTATTTGAGACCCTATCTGTTGCAAGACTAACGCCTGGCGTAACCGTCACCATGTTATTCAGTGTTTTTTAAGTAGCGCAAGGATCCTGCCATGACCGTGGTAATGTTATCATGAAAGCCTGGTATAACCGCGACAATGCTGTATTATATTGCAATGCCTGCCATGACCGTGACAATGTAATATAGTTCTGCAAGGCTTGGTATGACCGTAACAATGTAATATAGTACTGCAAAGCCTGGCATGACCGTGACAATGTAATATAGTATTGCAAGTTCAGGTATGAGAGTGGTAATGTAGAAATTTACGATTAGGACTGCTATAACCGTGACAATGTGTATTGCAAAGCCTGGCATGACCCTGGCAATGTAATATAGTATTGCAAGGCTTGGTATGACCGCCATGGCAATGTGATATAGTATTCCAAGTTCGGGTATGAGAGTGGTGATGTAGAAATTTATGATTGCTATAATTGACCGTGACAATGTGTATTTGAAAACCTTGCATGACCATGACAATGTTATATGGGATCGCAAAGCCTGGTATGACCGTGACAATGTAATATAGTATTGCAAGGCCAGGTATGAGGGTGGTAATGTAGAGATTTAGGCTTAGTTCTACTATGACCGTTATAATGTATTACAATGACTAGTAAATGTGTATGACATTAATGCCAGGAATATCCTTAACAATTTTAAGTGATCCTCATTACAATTTAACAGTTTAACTTACTATGATCATGGTGTTTAACTACCTTAATCATGTCAAAATCAAAATTACTACTATACATTAATATTCACATTCGCTTATAAACCACAATAAAGGCTACGGTCGCGCCAGGCTTCCAAGATAACACTTCCAGGGTCATGACAGGCCTTGCAATAGAATACAGCATTGTCACGGTTATACCAGCCTGTCACGGTTATACCAGGCTTACACGATAACACTACCACGGTCATGGCAGGATCCTTGCGCTACTTAAAAAACACTAATTAACATGGTGACGGTTGTGGCAGGCGTAAGTCTTGCAATAGATAGCATGTGGAGACCCTAGATAGCATGTGGCCTATTTGCAGTGCAGCCAAAAATTATAAATGATGATTGTCATATGGCTTCGAAATATTTCCAGTTTTTATCACTTTCACAAATATAATGTGATGTTGAGTTCTTTAACATAATACATTATATAATTATTTACTAGCCAGCAGTGTCAACTTACTTGATGCGCAGATGTATTGATGAAGAAACTTGATTCAATTACAAACCTCTACAAATAAACCGCGCTCCAAATTTGTTTATTATTTGTGGCGGGTCGTGCGCTAATTTAGAAGAGGAGCTCTTCAATGTGACACGCCAAAAAGAGACAGAATCGAGCTGACAGGTAAAATTTTGATTTGTATGATTTTCAAAGATTATAGACTATAGAGATAAATACTGTAGTTTCTAGAGATAAATACTTTGTTAGATTGCTTCATTTGGGATTTTGATCCTACTTGTCGCTTACTTAGTTTACACAAAGATGGCTATGTGCAAATATAGTAACTTGTCGTTGCCTTTTGTCATACTTGAGTGAGAGCTTGGCTAAATAATCAACCCTCACGCATTAGACGTGATTGTCACGCATTTGCCGGAAATATAGAAATCATGCATCAATTTAGCGTGAACCATTATGTTGATATCGTTTTTAGGAATTAGACATCTGAACTTATCGCATCCTAAGACCCCTTTAGATTGTGGTCGTAGGCCCGATTCATTAGTAAGCCTGTGTCTCTACAATGTCGGAGAATGAACTATGCATTGCACACATAAATGACCTACCTCGATACATTCCTGAGTATTTTAGAATTCTTTTCATATAGTTGAATCGCAAATTGTATGGGTTTATCGGCAGAACGAAGATATTTTCGTTTTTGATAGCAATATTTGCGTGTAGGTTCAACCGTCAAATTCCTCCATTCAGTTCCCAGCATGCAACAGTCATAAGGGAAATCCCTGGGGAATTCCCCTTCCGACATTTTGAAAATTGCTGAGATATTTCCGATGTAAAAACTAAAAGCTCTTTGTTCTGACGATAAACCCATACAATTGACGATCTAACAACATATAAAGAATTTCAAAATACTCTGGAATGTATCGAGGTAGGTCATTTAATAGCGCAATGCGTAGTTCATTCTCCGACATTGTAGAAAGACAGGCTTACGAATGAAACGGGCCTACGACCACAATCTAAAGGGGTTGAGGATGCGATAAATCTGAACAGCGAAAAAAAGTGAATGCATTCCATTTGATCTTTGCGCGCGATTGCCATTTATGTCACGCATTTGGTCCGAAATGTGTGTTTAATCACGCATTTGTTTCCCATACCAATCTGTCAAATTTCAATGTGTTCCCATACCAAAATAATCCCAAAAGCCATACCAAATGCCCAAAAATAGGACCAATGCCATACCAAATGTCCAAATATAACACCAATGCCATACCAAATGTCTAAATATAGGACAAATGCCATACCAAATGTCCGGGATCCAAAGTAGATAAGAGCTAATATTCAAATTGAGGAAGGCCCTGAGATGAAGGCAGATGAAGAAGAACGATCCAAAACAACCTCAAATTAAGGATATTTGTAACTACTAGACCAATACCATACCACAAATGTGAGGTAACATATTTTCCGTGACCATTCGCATACCAGAAAGTGGAAAAATCTGACCATTACCATACCTCAAAAGTCATAATAAGGGGCATTCTCATACCAGATCCTAAAATCTTGGTCCATTGCCATACCAAATGTCAAAAAAAGGTACACCATATGCGCCGAGGATCTCTGTCAAGGTTTATATACAGTGAATCCCCCAGGATAAATTCCTTCCCTAAAATGCAGAAAAATCTGTATAAATAGCGAGGAACACCTCCGATATCGTTCTGAAAAATTAAATATTTTCATTTACCTTGTACCTAGATTAGGCCCAAATGTGTAGCATTCGAAAGACGTCTTATTTCGTTTAGGACAAATGATAAAAACCCGGGTTAGGCACTTTATAAAAACGTATTGGTATTACACTACACTCCAAAAGCGCGATTTAAGGCGTTTTTTAGTGACAATGGTTCTAGGAGTTTTGGAAAAGCACTTTTGTAAAACGGCAATTGTGGTTACACCTATTTTTCAAACTGGGTTAAAAGCTTAGACGCCTTTCTAAAATGCACTAGGACCTTCCTCTTCAAAGCCCGATGCTCTACCTCTGAGCCATAATGCCTAGCCACCACATCTGAGCTGTAATTAGCAACTTGGTATTCAGGCCATTACAATTTTTCGAGACTTGAGTCTGCGAATCTTATGAAATTAAGGAAAATAGCTAGAGCAAAGCCAACTTTGATTTCAGAGCTCTTGTTAGGAGTTTTCAAGAACAATTTACTAATGCTGAAATGGAAAGAAAAGGTTTTGTATATCTTAACTACTAACAGTCTGGGGAAGTACTTTACAACTATTATTGTAACTATACACTAAAATATATGCTAAAATTAATCCTTCCAACTTATGACAGTGATGTACATACATGTATGCAGAAGGCCCTCCAATGGGGGGCCTATGAGTTGCTTAAGTTACATATGTACAATGTATGTCACTTTTGAATTTCAAGTGACTGGGATTACATGAATTGTTCTTGGGCCCATTTAACTATGCAAGTTGATGGCAATTATGATTTATGCAAATACATGTACTTTTGACTCGTAATATTGTAACAAGAATGATAAATAATGAAAAGGTAATGCTCTCACAACTGAGTTTACATTTATTTCACAAAATGTATGTTTTTATCATTTGAAATTTCAGAGATAACTAAAGGCAGTATTTGTCAGGAATTATGGGACTACATTGAAAAAAGCAACCTGGCAAACTTTCCAAGGCCTGTTTACCATAGGATACCCAACTTTAAGGTAATAACTTTACTTGTGCATTATTTGTTCTCTAAATTCAGTTTGGTACATGTTGATAAGTGACCAATAGCACTGGTTCTCTTTCAGAGGAGAGCATGGCAAAGGTTTGTATAGGAAAGGCTTTAAAAATTCCATGATAATCTTAGTCTTGATAAATTCATTCAAGAGCAATCTGTCACCCCACATGCCTCATACTCACATTCAGACGTGTATACTTCCATTCCATAGAGTGGCATCACTAAATGGCAGTGCTGCTTTGATCTAAATTTTCCATAGAGCGTGATAATCTGGGATCCTGTTGGTATTAATCTACTGTATTTAAATTGAATTTTTGTGGTTCTCGACCACCAGACCATGGACCGCCACATATGAATGGGAGAAACAAATTGACCTTTTATTCCACAGGGTCTCTAGACCCAGTGGAAAGTGACGATGCAAAATGAAAAGACATTAGTATCACAATTGAGAGAGTTGCAATGGGATTTCCACCTACCGCCATCCACCATAGAATGTACATAATCAGGTCCAATGTAAAATGGCTGTTGAAAGTCATACAGCCTAAAAACTTATTTGATTTTTCAAAACTCATAAAAGCATATAACATACATTTTACTTTTTGTTTAGGGTGCAGAACTGGCTGCTGATAGACTGTATAGTCTACCAGAGTTTACCAATGCCTCAATAGTGAAGATAGACCCTGACAAACCACTTGCTCCTTGCAGATTCATTGCCCTGGAGGTATGTATAAATAATGTGTAAGTTGTCATCTTGAATGTGCCACACATGGGGCAGCAAAATGATTAATAGTGTAACACATCAGAAACAATATTTTCTCTCAATCCCATTAGTATCTTTTAGATCTAGTTTTGATATATCTGACCAATTATGACAGTGATTGAAGTTACAGAAGCCAGTGATACATTTATTTATAATTGAAAAAGCAATCATACATTTTTTAGAATTAGTGCAAATTGACTTTAGCCATTTAAATGAAATAAAAAATAAAATCTCTTGCAAGTATATAAAGATATAAAGGAATGCTGTGCCGCTGTGGCCATTATTTACATTTTATACATTTTTCCACAATTCTTTGCAGCAAAAGAAAACATTACTTGTTCCCACACCAAGACTGAAGAGTGGGTTATTTAATGAAATCATACCCCCTGCTGGTGCCAACCGGCAAGACCTGAAGTTGTGCAGTTCAGCAAAGGTAAAGAATGAAACAGTCATTCAAAAGGCCAAGTACCACTGAGTCATTCTCATCGACCCTGGCCATAGTGAGTTTGGAAAATTTTATCAAACTTATTGTTCAGTCAGTGTCTTTGTCTCTCCATTTTTTAATCAGTGATGTCAGTTTGTTAAGACTACATTGTACTCACATCTTACCACTAGTAAAGTAGCATATACCAACTGATTTCAACTGTTATGTTTAAATATGTTCATGTCTTGATCCTGAATGGCAAAATTAACATTTACTGTAGCTTGATGTTTAAACATTTATTTCAAATTGATTTAAAGTTTAAAAATCCCAAATTCCTCAAATTCAAAACATATTGCCTCTTTTTAAAGCTGGACTACGCTCCGAAACGCAATCTTGGGTTGTTTCGGGGGTGAACTTTATCATTTTGAGCTTAATGAAAGATTATAGAATGATGAACAAATGGGGCAAATTTTGTGTAGAAATACTTACGATAAATGTGTCATTTCAAAGATTTTTCATTGAATTTGCTTCGATCGGTGCCGGCGATATGATTTTGGAAAGGTTTCTAAATGAAGAACGTGACGTCACTTCCGAATCATAGCATTCAAAATAAGTAGCGTTTAATTACCTCTTCCTTTCATAATAATACGTTGGTGTAGCGGGTAGAATCCTCGCTGAGCACGCGGGAGGCCCGGGTTCGAATCCCGCACTAGCCTTTTTTTTTAAACTAAATGATTGTTCTTTGATATTACGCAGAAAAAAACAATTTTTATTTACATAAACTTTATATTAGAGCTTGAAAATGTAAAAACAATATATGTCAACATATTGCGTTTCGGAGCGTAGTCCAGCTTTAAGTGAGTTTGTTGTAGGAAATGTTTCACTTATAATGGAAGTGTTACACTTGATAGTTTTTAATTCGTTTTGATAGTTTTTTATTTTAATTAACAAATGATTATCATTCATTAGTTAATGTTTCTCCAGAATAATGTCATTTGATATTTTACAGAGTGTCAAGGAGTTCAGTAAGCCAGTTGGACTAGATGCTGATGTAAAAGTAGATGTTTTAGTAATTGGAGCTGTTGCAGTCTCAGAAAAAGGTACACCCCTTCTCCATTAGTTTGCCAATATATTTCTGTAATGTTTTGATGAGGCAGTTGCTTGAACGCTTTTCAATTTTCTCATGGTATCATTCATATACAATACAATTGATTAAATGATTAGAATATTTGCTTTATACATTGAAACATGTATATTCGAACACCTCTCAGTCTGAACCCTTTTTGGTCTAATTTTAAAATCTGCCTAATAGGCTTCCATACTAGCAATTCTCCAAATGTGAACCCTGCCACTTTTAGTTGGTCCCAGTATTGTTCAGATTAGATACTGTAGCCTAGTTTTAAATGATGGTATGTGTTTTCAGGCTACAGAATTGGAAAAGGTGAAGGATTTACAGAGCTAGAATGGCCCATGATGTGTTCAATGGGAGCTGTCAACAAAGACACTGCTGTCATAGTAACTGTACATGATTGCCAGGTAACTGAAACACCAGAGGAGGTAATTCAAGACCATGATCTCCCTGTGGACATTATTATAACACCAACTAGATTAATTCGCTGCCATCACAAGTTCACAAAGCCTGATGGTATCATTTGGTCAATGCTATCACAGGAGAAGTTAATGCAGGTGCCAATATTGAGAACATTGAGGGGAATAGAACGTAAAGCAGGAAAATATGTTCTGCTAAAGGAAGACATACACTGAGATGAAATACAATGACAGGTCATGAAAATGAGAGATGACAATATCCTGATATGTTATAATCTTTATTTTTATTTATTGTACTATTGTATTACGCTGTTTTAAACTCATTATAGCCCCTGCTTATCTGTGATAATGCTTATTTTGCATACAGAATTATCCTGAGGGAAGTGTACATGTATCAACTCGAGGAATGAACTGTAGATGTAATATAATGTCAACATATTTTGATAGACTACATGTAAATAAATGATGCCCAGGAAATGATACCATTAGATTTATATTTTAGCTACGCCATGAGACATAATATTCATTTACTGACTTCCTATTACGATTTACGTTTGAGCAAGTCCCTCTCTTTTCAATTGTTACAAAGCCCTTGCTGCTCTCTCTATTCACTTTGTCTTCTCTCATCACCATTTGTGCTGTTAGTTCCGATATGCCATATCGTTAAACCAATTGACGGTTTCGCCATCTATATAAACATATAAAGTTTGTTTAATATCAATATATATTCATCTGGCAAACCTGAGAGTAACATGTACATACATTAATATCACATTTATTTCAAAGAAAATCTATGGCGAGGAATTTGTCATTCCTAAAAATCAAGATGGTCGTTGGTGTTTTCTTTAAATCTTCCATTAGGATAATTATACTTACATGCTGAGGCCCAGGAATACGTTAAAAATGTTTAAAAAGTCCCCTAGTGTACTGAGTTGGTAATGCGTGGTGTATACATGTATATAAATAGCTTTTACTACTTACATTGAATAAGAATAAGACTGATTTTTTATTAATGACTGTATACCCGGACCTCAGCTTACATGTACTACAATCATTCGATCATGTATATGTCTGGGATTCCATACTATCTACTGTGGTTCCAGGAACAGTGCGTATATAAATGAATCTAAACAGCATAAATCATATTTAAAAGTGAAAATTGAAAAATTAAAAAGGAAATGAAAACCCTCGCCTCTGCCCCTCCCTCATTCCTATTACCACAAATTCTTCAGTAATTCTAGTTCTTATTTTCTATCTCATTGATTGGTATAAAAACTTTCTGGTTGTTTCCTTAGTAGTAAGTGACTTTTCGGCCTTTATTAATTGAAATTGATTATATCACGGGTTTCCAAGAGGTCACTTGAAAGTCTATGTATGTTACTGTACTCTTGATTTCTTTTTAATTTGCACTTGTACATTATATGTTGCTTGATATCAATAGATATTTGGACGTAGTGAAGTATAGATCAGTAAAACTATGTTTCGCAGTATCTAGATTCAAACAAATCAAGTTTCAGCTGCCAGCCTGCTAAATATAGCACAGCAGCATAGTCTGGTGCGTTATGAGTAAGTGGGGGCAAACTCATTCTCCAAAAACACTGACTCATATCATCCTTTGTATTCAAAGAAGGCACATCCGAACTCTGCCTTGGAGAATTGAGCGAACATTCCTCCAACGTCCGTTGCAGCTTGTTATATGTGAGATGAGGTCGATCAGCGAGATTGCATAGGAACCCATCAGTTTTGAGTTACATATTTATATCAAGGAATCTGGTGAGTTTGTTTTATAAATATTAATTTATGTTTACTGGCGATATATATATACGTTTTATGGATAAAATCGAATTACTGAGTCTACTGGTTATGGGGATTACGTCGTGTTTTGTAATGATTAGAAATATCATAATTAGATACAAACAATACATCCTGATTCTGGGGCTCATGAGAAGTATAAATCAAATGTCTTTGATTGCATGACATTGTATGTTAAAAAAACACTTGCTTCAAATAAACCATTCACATTCCCTGGGGAATCTGGTATCAACCTAATAAAGCAATGTAAAGTTATTGTTTGACATCTATTTTTATAGCTAAATAGCAACATTTAAACGTTTGTTGTACATTGCAGACATTGCTGAGACCAGGAAAGTAAAAAAAACTCATCAAAGCAAGTTATAATGTCCTGTTTTGGAAGGCAATGTCTCATTTTCATTCATTTTTCACGAGATTTTAATTAAACGGTATTAATGCCATATTTAAACGGAACTTGAACTTTTTGTTACTTTCAATCATATTAATTCTCATACAATTCCCGGGGTATATTTACTCCGGTTCAAATTTCTTGTCTCAGCATTATCTTAAATATGTAATATTTTGAGAACGTTTGGAAGGTTTTTCATAACAAAAAGATTATCATGAATACAGCATATGCACATATTGCATCTTTAAATCTAGATACTTTTTCGGCAGAAGCTATACTAGAGCATACGCTAATTCGTTCTTTTTAAATACATATTTTCACAAAATCCCAAAAACTTATACCCCGTTTTTACATTTTCATGAATGTGCTTGCATCATCTGAAATGAAAATTGTGCCACAATTTGTTTCAGATGCAAGCAAAGTATTTTCGAAAATTACTCTCCCCGGTCCATCTTGTCAATTTCTAATTTCCGCTCCTGGATTAGGGAAGATTTCATAACAACAACTCTATTGGTGTACGACATAGAACTTATTAACAAACTTTCAGAGAAGAATCACAATAAATAGGTGCAGATCCACTAGGCACATCCACTTTAGTCTAGGAAACATCTGGGTTTACTTTACCACAATACTGCATACATAATGAAGTTCTTAGTCTTTTACGTATCCAACAAACAATGTAATGAAACTCGTATGTAGTTTATGCGTAGCATGGTACATTCCCCTGCAAAACTGTATGGTCATCCCATTGGCACTGGGGAGTATCGTGATGCAACAACACCGTGTTGTTGGACTATGTGTTAAAGACTTTAAATATTTGGCGACGATTTTCAGATACCCCACCTATTATATTGTATTTGAAAGACAAGTTTGAATATACGCAGGCTTAACACTCTACCAAATGGGGAGTCGTGGTTGTCAATCTTTTGGAGGGGTTATACTGTTTTTGTATGATATTCCTATTGTTGGGTCGAAACGGCCTCATAGATGAGATATTCTTACAATGGTACATTCTGCCTCGTTAATTTCTGGAAGTACATAATGTAAATGTTTTTTTCCAATTTTTTCGTGGATTTTGTGGAATAAAACCGAAGGCCTACTACTTTGTTCATGTGATCACCTTGGCTACCTCAAACATATGCTTGCTGACCCAACACAGTTCGATTCTGATATTGCCAACGCAACTTCATTGATAAGTGCACATTTGCAATCGCAATATAGGCACGGTCACGTTACCTCACTCAAAACTTCATAAGAGGCCCACGCAAGTGGTAGATAAACGGAAGCCGAGTAAATCACTATAGGAGCTGCAAATTATGAAATTGATACAATTACAAACATTGATTTTGTCCAATTTTGCAATTTCACTGGATTGCTAAATCCAGGTGAAATACAGATCTATGGCACATTTGAAGAACATGTTACTAAAGCAAATGTGTAATCTTTTTTCTCCAGCTTCATTGCTTATCAGCGCAACAGCATTCTATTTCAAAACAAATCTACGGTTATTGCGATAAACCATGCTTCTGTACACATGTACAGCATCAAATTTATTTGTACGATACCTGGATACATTGGATAGAGGCATCGGATGTGCACTTACTGTTCAGTATAGGGATCGTGGCCAAATATTGACGGTGAACGTCATTTCATTTTGCTTAATTCCCCATAAAACGGAAGGAAATTTTAATTTGCCTTTCAATAGAATTTTTTCCAAAAATTAACAACATTTTGTGAGTATTGTAATGACGTTTATTAATTCTTATAATGAATCGTCATTTACCCTCCCCTCAAAAGAATTAATCTCGTTATTTCACAACTGTTTGTATTTGGACATCTTCCCTTATCAGTTTGGTGTTGATATTCCATAGAGATTAACCAATCGAACCCCAGCTGGTACACACACACAGAAAATATCGAAAATAACAAACGCATGGATGAATAATTGGTCATGAGGTGAAGGGAACGCTAAATTACGTCATTTCCGTCTTATCTCCTGGCGCATGCCACGTGCTGATAAATGTGCTTGAGGTTTGTGTGTATTTTCGAGGAAGAAAAAATTTGCCTTGAAACGATTTCCGAAACTGATGAAATCAGTCATTGAGTCTGATCCATTATGTTGTTTACATTACCTTAAGGCGATTCACCTTATCTTGGTTGTTACCGAGTGACTCAAAAATGAAAGTTAGTTCACGATTAGGTGTGCTGAATGTTTCTATGTGTCACATACATCACATTTACTGTGTTTCTGTCTTCCAGATTGTCATAATGGGTTCTGATAGCTCGAAGGGAGCAAGCAAGGATGGGAATAGCGCAAGCATTGGGAAAGAGCCAGAGAGGAAAAGTAACATTGACAGCATCGGCCCGGGTAAACCATTTCACCGCCCAGCTTGCTGCACGCGTGCTGGATCTGTTAAACATGCCCCGGATGATAAGCCTATCGCAAGACCAACAGATAAGAAGAAATTAGATTATGATGAACTACCTGCCCATCAACCAAGGATGAGTCTTCAAAGTGCTGGAAGATTAAACACACTTATCAAAACGGAAGATCCAGACAAATCGGATGTCAAGTCAACAACATCAAATGAGTTATCAAAAGCCGGTACTTTGCCCTGCTCGACACGGATTGCAGTAGTAAGCACTGACCCTCGCCGACATACCGCCACCATAGACAGTGTTACAATCAGTTCAGACTATGCCTTACCCCAGGATGCTATGCAGAATTCTGATAGTGACTCTGACATTGAGGTGTTCGATAATGTCAACGAAACTATCCAGTGGACACAAAGCCCTTCATTTGAACCAACTGAATCACCAGTAACCCCTCCGAGCACACCCTCAGAAAACACTCAATCAACTGATCACCACCCCATCTCAACATCCTCTGTACCAGATGTCCTTAGGGTTGCAGAGCAACATGTTATTGTGTCTGAAGAGGTTGAAAGTATAGTCGAACGGGACGATGAACCCGTCGTTAACATCGATGACACTCTGGAGCAATTGAAGACTATAGCCGAAGGATTGGATGTTGAGTCAAAACAGTTGAAAACTCCAGTTGAAACTGTTGAAACGTATGAAGAAAGTGAAATACAAATTATTGATGATCAAGAGGAAGCGTTGCCTTTCAATGACACCTTTCGTGAATTACATATCTCCGTTTCGAATGAAGGCAACGACGTTCATGTGAACGATGAACTTGCTCATAACCCTGATGATTTGAAAATTGACTTTGATAGCAATGAAATTGAAGCCCGACCTGGAAACAGAGATGTCGCAAAATTGGCCATTGACAGAGTTTATGGAGCTCATCTGTCCCCTGGGGGTACTCCATATTTTTTCCAGGCTCTAATAGACGAAGCCCAACCTCAACAAAGGGCTGTGACAGCGAAAGATGGACAAAAAGGCAAAATAAAGTCCAAACGAAGATCTCGCTCTAAAAGATCTGAACGCTGCAGTAAACAAAACCTTAGTGTTGATAATCAGTTTGACCCGTATAGCTGCCCTACACTGTCAAATGAATACAGAAAGGCCACAGATGACGTGAGTCCATCTGATACATCAATTGCAAGGGAGTATTGTGCGGCTGTGGCTAGTGGCGTTGCTAGACCTGACAACGTCTCAACTCCAACATTATCGAGAGAAGTTGCTCGTGCCACTGAAGAGCTTGTAGTTGATGATAATATTGATACAGAAGATATGATGCTTAAACATAATTCTGAAATATCTAATGAACATGCAACTCTATCTAAAGAGTTCAGAAATGCAAGTGAAAATAGTGAAGCAAATGCAAATATCAACGAAGAAGTGTTAACAGCCGCTGAACTATCACATTATGAAGATTTAGATGCTTCTCCTGCTACTCTTCAACGCATATGTACAAATAACATTGAAAGGGCAAACCCTCAGAATATATCAAACAAGGCACGATTAAAACAAACTACTAAGTTGGTTGATATCCCGAATGTCAATGTAAATATTCAGAATTGCGATAGTCTAAAAGTAATGGCTGAACGCGCATTGAGAGAATACAAGTCTCAATATGTATTTGTAAGAAATGTATCTAGTCCTAAATCACAGTGTTCGAATTCTGGGCAACAAACCGATGTTTCGTCTTCTGGGAAGGATATAAATAAAGGGATATATGACAAATTACTCGATCCCAAGGGAACGTTACAAGAGCGGATTGATGAAGCATTGAGAGACATATCTCGTGCTGTGTTTAACCTATCTCCAGCTAACACACTCGAAAAAAACACCGCCCAAAAACAGTCTCCACACCTTCAAGAAAAACCGCATGTCACTTCACAGGAACCTGCCCGTATAGAAAGGGTGAAGTATGCCTATAATCCAATATTTTCACAAGAAGTTAAACACGAACGTGTATCAGAAATAAAGCAGGAAAATCAATCACCCAAATTAGGCTCTTCACAACCTCATCAAGTAGAAAAAAACAATGCCCCAAAACAGCCTCGGTCCCTTCAAGAAAACCCAAATGTCACTTCACACGAAACTGCCGGTACAGAAAAGGTCAAGTATACCTATAATCCAATATTTTCACAAGAAATTAAACACGAACGCGTATCAGAAATAAAGCAGGAAAATCAATCACCCAAATTAGGTTCTGCACAACTTCATAAATTCAGCGAGACTGCATCTTCCAAACCTCGATGCCCAATTTCAAGCAAAGTGCAATTGGAGCCACTTGTATCAGCAAAACCTCAAGTCTGTTCGTCTCCACCGCAGACATTTGAGAACTGTGCGAAGAAACCGCAACCGTCAACACAGTATTCGTTTGAAAGTCGCATGAAAGAATGGGAACAAAATAACTCTGACCTTAAAGTTGTAGGTCAAATTGATCCAGAATTTGAAGCGGCGTTTTTGTGGAATGCATCTGAGGATATAATTAAGGGAAAGGGCGATTTTCTAGAGACCCCATCCAATACACCAGACATTATCACAGGTAATATTTGGACTACTGATCAGTCTAAACGTGATATACAAAGAAATCAACATGCTGCTCTTAAACGCACGTACAATGCCAGTGAGAGCGAACGCCCGCCACCAGTGAGTCGCATGCCACAGGATCAAGTCTATGACTTACTAATGGCTGCAAAATCCCGTGTTGAAAAGGGTGATTTAACGAGATCAACTGAGTTTGTGTATCCACCAGAAAGTGATGAAAACGATGACGATGGAATTGTAGAATTCAGTATCACAAAAACATATACAGAACCATCCCCCTTTGACGATCCACCTAAGAATGAATCTCCCCCAGAAAGGATGGATCAGCCGTACAATTTCGTGAATCCTTCACGACAAACAAGGGACGTGTCAAGTCATAGACTGAAGCGTGATCCTTCGAGTGCACTTATTCCTCTCACGGAGGAAAATGACAACTTGGATGGTCCACATGGGGATGTGTTTCATCCTAGTGTTGGGATGTCTAAAAGTAGTGGGGACATACCCGTAACGGACTATGTGTCGCAATGGTTGAAAAATCAACCAGCAGAAATGGAGACTCCTCCACAATATGTCCCTCCAAATGAGTTAAATCAACCTCCAAATCACAGGATGGCTCATTCCAAGAGTGATTCTGCCTTAACCGTCCAACAGATGCCTTCAAACAATGGCGAGCTCCAAGTGGCCAGAGATCAAATGGACGGTTTGAAGGTACAGATAAAAATGCTTCATGAACAAATGAGATCTATGGGAGACATCCTCGATACCTCTGGCCAAAAGCAGGAAGAACCTACTATTCACAAAACATCTGATAAAGGTTGTTAAATTGTAAACACATCTTACATTGTGAAGTTAATTTAAAATGTTTCTACAAAAGGTATCGTGAATTGAGACGTTTTTGTTTGAATATTAGGTATTCGTAATATGTGTACATACAATGTTTTGTAGGCAACGTTATATCTCAGAAAAATAAATTCGAACTTTTTATGTTTATTTGGGCAGTATTTATACAACAAAATTATGGAAATTATAATTGTATTCGTTTCGTACACCCATAATTATGTATCATACCTAAGCATTTCTTACAAGTGATCATTTCGTAGCACACGGGTTTATTTACATAACTACGAAATATAACTGATCGGGTAAAATTGCAAACTTTCGGCTGTCAAACCTTTGAAGGGGAGTGAACATGCTGTCACTCGGAGTTGGATGCAAAACTATTCCTTATGAACGTATGTCATTGCACTAATTATTTTCAAAACTTCTCGCTCAATGAACATTAAAAGTATATGGCCACCATTTTCTCTATAAAGGCGTCATAAATCTCACACAGATAATATCATCATCATCATCACCTTCATCGACCATTTCATTGCTCACATGAGACATCGGGACACTGATAACTGAGCTCGCAATGTCCTTTCTCTAGAATAGGGAAGAAAGGTTCAATTAATTTCATTTGGAATCTGAAATAAACAACGATCGATCTTGAATTATTCCACTCCATTTTTATCATTTTATAGATGTCGCCATGTAATAAATCTATTTAGATTTACGAATGATATACCCCTGACATCTATTGATTAATTAATATACAAACTTTAACTCTGTGGCTGACGCTACAAGCATCATACAGGGTATCCATAAAGTAGAAACTGAATCGTGTCAAATGGCTTCAAAATTATTCATGGTGTCAATTTCAATTTTCCCGTAGATTATCATGATGCTCAGTGGACAGTTAGAAATCAGATGTAAATTTTGAAAACTACTAATTAAGCATATTATTGCGCGAAATATGGAAGACTAGTGCCCAAAACATGGACATGTCATCATATAATGTCATTAGATAGGGACTACTAATTTGATATATAACTCACTGTTCAACAGCTGGATGTCTCTAACAACAGTTAGTATCATTCAAGATGGTGGCCAAAATTCTGGAAAGAATGCTGAGACACCCGCATTAATTGAGAATTTTAAAGGAAACGGCTTCACTTATAATAAGTCTAACTGAACTTGATGATACACTAACTCAAACATGATATTCACGATTGATGACACTATTGATGGCCACTCATGTATTCATTCCATAGAGTTAGTGTCATCCATCGTTTCACTTAGTGTCATTCCTACGTCATCATCAAGTTCAGTCAATGTCATTCTAAGTGAGGCCGTTTACTTTAAAGGGGACATGCCATTAAGAGGCCATTCTCTGACTTAGTCATTTTTTCAAAAGTGTGAAAATAAAAAACCTCATGAAAAGTTCTTAAAATATTCTGGATAACAAGTTGAATATATATATTTAATGATGGCACAAGCAAAGATCTGAAAATTAACATGAAATGAGGGGTTTTGACAGATGCAAAAGATGGTAGATTTGTGATGAAGAAATAGAGGTTTTTGCAGTAACAACACAATTACCTCAAAGTTATTGGTTATGAGAGGCTGAGGACTAAACTAAGACATACTTTTCAATCTCAGATTAACAGTAGCATCTAACTTAAGCCGGACATCCACTCAAAATGTATATGGAGCCCATAAGATACATTTTTCTCAATTGAAGTCACTATTTCTGTTTTTAGCTTCAGAGGATAGGAGGTACATAAACATGCTAAGTTTACCTAGATCACAAGCCTTACCACAGATATAAATTATATAGGAATAGAGTTGATATGTGTGAGAACCTTAAACTGGCCATTTTATTGGGGATGGGACTTGTGATTCATGTGTATTTCTAACTTTTTCACATGTGCATGGATCTAAAATTGTGGCAGCCATCTTGGATTTGTCATATAATGTGGACATGGTTTTGATTGTGCTGAATTTGTTTCAAAATAACATTTCGTGTATACCTTCGATAAGTGAGATAGGAATTTGAAATTAAATACAGATAGTATACTTGACATTTAATGCAGTAAACAGTAATACAATTCATTCTTACATAATAAGTGAGTCCAGACAAAAAGTTGTTATTGTGTTAGTTTAACTGGGCATAAATTACACTCATTGGGCTTGGTTTTCTTAATTGGCTTGGATAAAATATGGTTCTATTTATTCAGAAAAGGAGTATAGTTCAATGTACAAGTTCACATTCATTCCATCCTCTTGTAGGAATGAATCTCATATTATTTCATCTCAAGTATTATATCACAAAAATATAATAAAAAACAAGTTAGCTTCCATGTCATGAATGAGTTTGGGTTCAGCTTCTAGGGAAAAAAGATATTCCCTCTGGAAATATCGCATTGACCATTGCTACACACTCAATATTTAATCCTGCCTCTAAATAACATTGATATACATTATTATATGAGGATCTGGGGTTTGGGTAATGTGAGACATGAGTTCTTTCTTTAAACCCTCATATTTAATATTTTTGGAGTGGTAATTCAACTATTTACTTATTGGTTTTTCTTTATCCCATAGTTGGGCTCTCTTCCGCTCTGTTAGGTAACATGAAAACATATTTATGATATTTTGCAAATGCATGGAAAAAGTGATATCTCTGGAATATATATGTCACGATATAGGGACAAAAAATATTGACATTTTAAAAGTACTGTTTATTTCGTTTTGTTATTATGAAAAGTAATTAAGGAACGTTGGCTACCTTGGCTGTTGAAACCTGGTGATATAATCATTATCTTTACGAAGAAGAGATTATGTGTTATGCAGGCATTTTAAAACACGTTACTTTGCCTTTAGAACGTTACCTTAATAGACTTTAAGTTTTCTCTAATAAGATTGGATGCTTTTTATGTACGCATTCTTAAAACACGTTACTTTGCCTTAAAAACGTTACTTTATTGGACTTAAACTGATCTCTACGAATGGATGATTTTTTTATGTAGGCCATTTTCAAAACAAAGTACTTTGTCAGTAAAACGTTACTTTATTCGACTTTAACAATACTCCACGAAGAATGGATGAATTTTATGTAAGCATTTTCAAAACACGGTGCTTTGCCTTAAAAACGTTACTTTATTGGACTTAAACTTATCTCCACGAAGAATGGATGATTTTTATATGTAGGCAATTTCAAAACACAGTATTTTGACACTCCACGTTACTTTATTCGATTTTAACCATACTCCACGAAGAATGGATGAATTTTATGTAAGCATTTTCAAACACGTTACTTTGCCTTAAAAACGTTACTTAATTGGACTTTAACTGATCTCCAAGAAGAATGGATGATTTTATATTAGGTATTTTCAAAACACAGTACTTTGTCAGTAAAACGTTACTTTATTCAACTTTAACCATACTCCACGAAGAATGGATGGCTTTTTATGCAGGCATTTTCAAAACACAGTACTTTGCCTTAAAAACGTTACTTTATTGGACTTTAACTTTTCTCCACGAAGAATGGATGAATTTTTGTGTAGTCTTTTCAAAACACAGTACTTTGTCAGTAAAACGTTACTTTATTCAACTCTAACCATACTCCACGAAGAATGGATGACTTTTTATGCAGGCATTTTCAAAACACAGTACTTTGCCTTAAAAACGTTACTTTATCGGACTTTAACTTTTCTCCACGAAGAATGGATGAATTTTTGTGTAGTCTTTTCAAAACACAGTACTTTGTCAGTAAAACGTTACTTTATTCAACTTTAACCATACTCCACGAAGAATGGATGGCTTTTTATGCAGGCATTTTCAAAACACAGTACTTTGCCTTAAAAACGTTACTTTATTGGACTTTAACTTTTCTCCACGAAGAATGGATGAATTTTTGTGTAGTCGTTTCAAAACACGTTACTTTGCCGATAAAACGTTACTTTATTGGACTTTAACTGATCTCCACGAAGAATGGATGATTTTATATTAGGCATTTTCAAAACACAGTACTTTGTCAGTAAAACGTTACTTTATTCGACTTTAACCATACTCCACGAAGAATGGATGTTTTTTTATGTAGGGCCTTCTTAAAACACGTTACTTTGCCTTAAAAACGTTACTTTATTGGACTTTAACTGATCTCCACGAAGAATGGATAATTTTTTATGCAGGTATTTTCAAAACACGTTACTTTGCCTTAAAACGTTACTTTATTGTACTTTAACTGATCTCCACGAAGAATGGATGATTTTTATGCACGCACTTTCAAAACACAGTACTTTGCCTTAAAGACGTAACTTTATTGGATTTTAACTTTTCTTCTCGAAGAATGGATGATTTTTAGGTAGGCATTTTCAAAACACAGTACTTTGCCGATAAAACGTTACTTTCGTGGACTTTAACTTTTCTCCTCGAATAATGGGTGATTTTTTATGTAGGCATTCTAAAAACACAGTACTTTGCCAGTAAAACGTAATACTTTTAACTTTATTCCTTCAAGTGTCGAACATTTTAGCCTGGTGTTTTTAAAAAGCGTTACTTTTGCCGATTTCCGTAACTTTCTTGTACTCTTAGTTTTCCTCCATCGAGCGTTGGTAAATTTTAGGTAGGCATTTTCAAAAAGCGTTACTTTGGCCCTTTTCCGTTACTTTCTTGGACTTTAACTTTTTTGCCCGATTGAGTATTTTGAATGTAAAAAATAAGGAATCAAAGGACGATATTGAACAGTATTTTGTAAAAGTAGAAACAATTGTACGAGGCCTAACTTTTGTTTATTTTGGTTTGTTTTGTAGTTAGCTATCATATGTGTGGCCTCTTATATTTCGATGCTTCTCTGCCATGACATTTTCGACACTAAAAATTAACATGGATGAAACTCAATAAATTACTGAATGCCACACGTTTGCTGTAACTATCTGAAATACTAAAGTTAGGCCTTGTACATAAGTTTCTATTTCTCCAAATATAGTTGCAATATGGTCATTTGATTGCTTATTTTTTAAATTCAAAGTACTCAATAGATGATTTTGAATCGCATTTTGACGAACTTCAGTTTTGTCTCCGTCAGTCGATAAAAAGCAGTCAAAAGACCACAGTGCAATATTAAATGGAAAAATACATTGATATTCTGATGCAAACGATTGTATTG